CTTGCTCTGTCTCTGAACACTGGCAGCGTTGTTCTCTTTTTTTATGTGTGACATAAGGCATGAAATAATTTCTATGGTTGTGGATGATACCAATTTGATAACAATTTGAACATCTACCCGTGTTTCATGATCACCTAGTAGGCATCATGGCTTATCTTCACCAACCACATCCCAGGGAACTTGAAAGACTGAGGACAAGGGCAGGGACCTTGTGTGCATATTGAAAGTGTTTCCTTCTCTCCTTGGGAAACACAATAAATTCTCAGTCCAAGACTTATGCAATTTTTTTCTAAGCCAGACCTCCTTTCTTGCACTTCCCATAAGCTCTTTGTGTAAAAACATCATCATTAGTAATAAACAAGAATTGATTCAACTGGTGAGTTCAAGGGTGAACTGGTGAGTTCAAGGGTGAGTTCAAGTTCAACTTCAAGGGTGACCCTGTCTTTTAAACTGAATATTCATAAATTCGTAATACATTGTAAGAACAAGAAAAAAATTGCATATCCCAGGGAACTGCCCCCCCATACACTTAACAAGATAGATAGATACAAGAATAGTTAAAGACTCCTCAAAATGCAGACTGTCAATAGCTTTTCCTTTTTCTATACACTATAAACAAAGAAACCAAGTAGTCTCAGTACACTGAAATAACTTCTATATTACACACAAGGTCTGGTACAATCTTAATTGCTATTAGCATCTAAAAGAAAGACAGTCTGGACATGCTGCTAGGATAAAATTGATTAAACAAGTGCAGAAAGAGTATACACTGTTTAAATGGTAAAGATAAGCACAAGCCCAATTTTGTTATTTTTTATGATGGGTAAATAAGTCAAATTATTATGAGGTATTATTCTTTATTACTTGTGAAGTTCAGCTAAGAACTCCAGTCATGCTGGGAACAATACAAATACAGAACAAAGAAACAAGCCTGGTCATAAAGAGTTTGCAATCAAAGTATTTTTTTTCTCTGAAGCAAACACTTTATTACTGTTTCAGTTAATTAATGAAAACAAAATCTCTGAACAGTCTGTTCTTGGAAAATATTTCGCTGCATTGGTCAGTACTTGGAAAGGATTAACACAGTTATTAGGATTTTCACAATTTTTACAATTCTTACATTGGTAAGGGATGTTTCCACTTGCCATTACCTATTCCACAAACAAGCCCCAGGCAGCCAATATAATAAGTAAAACAAAAATGCTCCCATAATTAAGAACAGTTTGAAGAGTATGCAAAAGGTAGGAGTATTTTGTATACTTATTAACTTTGGTAAATTTTAGAACATTGGTATATATTTTCTAATTATCGCAACCTGAAATTGCTATAATTATTATGTTGCTCTTGAGAATATGCCTTAAGCACTTCTCCTGCTACCCTAAAATATATTATTTCTTACTCTTTTTTTCCTCTAAAGTAAATTAATACCTAAAATTCAATTTCAAGGAGAAAGTAAAATCCTACAGCAGCTCTACTCCTCTGTTTGGATGGTAAATACTTATAAATGTATGGATGAGAGAACTTTTAGGGGTGAGAGACCCAGGTTCAGGATACAGAGAAGTTCTTGGAATTCTAATTGTTCAGTTTTCATAGACTTCTAGAAACCCTTGTGACTGTCCCAGACTCCACCCTCAACCATATCCTTAACCCTAAATAGAGACTAAAAGGATCTTGTTGGAAAAGAAAGCAAGCAGAGAGATAATCTGTTCTCAGCTCCCAATCCCCCTCCCATCAATGTGGATGCTTTCCTTTTTCCTTTTGTCTCTTAGGAGTTTTGCTGATGAAACAAAAACAGAACAGGGAAGGCCTTCAATAACCTTCATTATTAAGTGACTTATCTTTCAACCTAGAAGCTGGAGCCACTGAGTCTTTCCTACTGCCTATCTCCATTTATTGGGAAAAGAAGAGAAGAGGATTCTTTCCTCTCTGGTAACTGATATGTGTGGTTTGCAGAGTAACCCACAAGATTTCCCTAAGAGCCAGTCTTAAATGAACAAGTCTTAGAGCTCCAGCTTATTGCCTTGTCCGTTCAACATGACTGTGAGGCTGCTGGAATAGACAGGGAAATGCACTGAACAGAGGGACTAATAATGTAACAGTCGTTCTGTTTGCAACTCCTCAGAAGTTGTTGCCTACTAGAGACTGGGTAGTCACCTTGCTACCTTGGGACTTGCTAAACTCCAGAGTTTTCGCATCTGGGACAGAGTGCTGAGAGCAGTAGGAGGAGACACTCTTCCCTTATGAGGTCAGTTTAAGAATTTTGCTACCATCAACTGCTGAGGAAAGGATAACAAGAAAAGGAAAGTAGAGGAGTGAATAAGAACACCATGTCACCCTAGGGGCCCTGAGAAGATGGTCATACTTTCACGGGTCAGGCCTTCCTCTCCCTGGGGTCATATCTCTCTTCCTCCTTTTCCATGAAGATTACCAGATGTGGCACTTGTTGTCTGGGTTCATTGGGGATCCACTGGAACAGTGGAATTGCTTGGCAAAGTCCTGGCTATTGCTGACAGGCCCAGAGACACGAAGTGGCAAGGGACTGTGCGGATCTGTGCTCAGGGAAGACTGTAGTTTCTCAGGATCCTGATGTCCACACATTGCCTGAAAGGAAGCAAAATAGAAAAGTCAGTTTGGCTGAAAGTCCTCATGTGAACAAGACTTAAAGCTCCTCATGCCTCTGCACAAGTGACTGAGGCTGCTGGAGTAAACAAGGAAACACACTTACATGGTTGCCAACAATGTTCAGAACTTTCCCTTCACCACCACAATTTCTGACTGTTTTCCCTTTCCCTAAACTTCTCTGTCCCAATTTTCCTATCTGAAAAGCCATCCTCTCTTTTTCTATACTGTGTAGTCCAGAACACAAGATATGTAGACCACCTTGGAGTTTAAGCTCGTGCAACCTTGGACTCCATCTAAAATAATGGTATAGATGTAGTCTCAGTGTCTAGATTCAGCTTCTTAAACAAAAGCAGTAAGCGCTTATCAAGAAAGGAGAGCACTTACTTACACAACATCCCTTTACTACTTGAGAGATTGGGGTAAGGTTATGTGACCTTACTGGTATTAAACTGGCAATCCAAGCCTTCACTTTTGTGATTTCAGTCTTTATTCATTGACAAATGATGCAGTAGCTGCCAAATACCCTCTGAAATGCAGAGACCAAGACCCAATAATCTGTGATTGCAGAACTGCTTTTCTACACACTGTTCTGACCTAATGTCAATACACGCACAAAACTTTTCCCTTTGCACAATTACCGTAACTTATAAGGGTGTGGCTTTTCTGAGCACAGAAATCCAATGATCTATCATGAGGAACTGAACTGCACAGCTATGCACAACTGCACAACTTTGCACACATCGTTAAACCAGGTTCCCACAGAAATCTCAAACTATGTGTGCATGTACTTCTAGTTCTTTATCTCTAAATAACATTCTAAACTCTTTTTTTCACTATCAGTCACTCAGAATGACATGACATCTAGTTATTCACCATGACAGAGAGGCGGATGAATGAAGGGATGGAGAGATACGTGCCTTTTCCAGTAAAATTCCACTTTCCATGTGTAAGATTGCTCACAACAGCAAAAAAAGCTGGCAATGAAGCATGCTTTCCCTGACACAACTTGTCTGCTACAATTTAATTTTGGTAGATTTCAGAGCTTTGTAAAAGATATATTTGGAGACAGGCCTTTTGTTACCTTTGAGATCCATAACAGGTTAGGGGCCCTATATGTGAATTTTAGCTTTCTAGGTAAGATTCTGGATCCCCCAGAAACATTGGTCATTCCCAGTTCTGTGAAGAGGTGGAAAAGTGATTGAATATTGAGAAAGACAAACTGTAATAATGTGGAAGACAATGGAGAGTGAGAGAGAGACATGACTAGCCTAGAATTCATTACATGAGCAAAACTGAGGTAGAAAAGCTGGTCGTGTGAAAGTCCAATCTTAGGTAAATCCTTTTCTTTGTGTTTTTTCAGCCAATTCTTGTAGGCCTGTGGAGAGAGAAAATTAATAATAATAAATTCCCCTTCAGATAGTGTCCCAAAACCATGTCTTCTGTCAATGAAATATATCAATCTAATATACATTTAATAAATTAGTAAGTTTGTGTCTCTCTCTCCTCACTCTGAGGCTCCCTGCTGCTGGCCATGCCCCTAATAACTCTAACACGGAAGAGTAACAACATAGCTCCTTTGCTTCCCATTTCAGACACTAGCACACGCACATCGTCAGAAGAGAAGATATGGGGACTGCACTATGAAAGAATGACAACTACTTTCAAAGAAAGTCACAAATATTTGAATGAAAATTAGAAGACTTTCTACCTCCTAACATTCTTTGTGCAAGAATGTAACAAGTACCGTCTGAGCCCTAGAGATCTCAGAGCACCCTGCACTCAGTAATTAATTAAACTGCTGAGCTACTGCATGAGGAAATAAAACATTCTCTCTGGACTAAAGAATTGCTGAAAACATCATTATGGAGTCATTTTACCACCACACAGAATTCTGGTTCATCTCAGCTGAGTTCCTGAAGTATAACATAAACATATAAATAATAACATGCTTTTGTATGCATGACATAAATGGGGAAGTAAAGAAAGGCCCACCCCAGAATTGTTGAAAGAGAGAAGTGGTTTTACATGGAAGTACTAAGGTTATGAGCAAAGCTTTGTGAAGAACCTACGTCTGGAATAGCAGAGGACATGCAGGGCACATGCTGCACTGGCACAGGCGTGCAAGAAACCTGGAACTGGAGCAGCATGTAGGAGAGGGATGCAGCAGCAGAGCAATCTTGTGACATGGTCGTTGAGTTGTGTGGTGAGACTATGAGATTAGAGAAGTAAGTAGGCTACAATACCTGGTAAGCAATAGTGAGCCCTCCAGTGTCAGCTGTATTCTCTAACAGTGTAAAAGTACCATTGACCTTGAAGCCATAGCTTTCATACTGTTCAACCAAGCAGTCTATAGATTTCTGTAGTGCGCTCCTGTTGCATGTAGGACAGCCCCCAGGCAGCACTGTGGGAAAAAAAAATCCTAGAAAGTAAAGGTATTTCTGGCATTCACCTGTATTCCTCACATTAATCACTGAGTCTTCTTAGTAGTCAGCATGGCCTGGAACGGGTTTTCCTTAGCTTCATCTACTTTAATAATCTATGTATACATTGATATAGGGACCAGGATTTAAGATCCCCTGAGGGAAAGTGCCAGCGGGGACCTAGGAGAATAAACAAAGACACCACAGCTGATACCCACCATAACCATAGAATGTGTGAAGAAGTTCATGTGCCATGAAGACCCCAATGGCTCCAAAGTTCACAGCACTGAAATATAAACATGAGAAGAGTGCTTTTGAAAAGAAAAAGAGGATGAGCATTCTTTATAGCCACTGAGCACAACTGTGGGCTTCACAGGAGCATTCTACTCTGAGAGCACACAGAGGCACTTTCTATTTATTGTCTCTCAGGTGTGGGATACTCTGTAAAAATGCAAACACAAGTATAAATTACTCTACCAATGCTTAAAATTGTACTGTGGGCTTGCATTAAAGTATTCATAGCTATGAATATAATATGAATATAATATGAATATAATACAAATATAATGAAGAGTTTGTGAATGAGAACCTGCCTTTATTAACTCTAACAACATGTATTGTTGTTGAGAAAGGTCCTTATTTACCCACTACTGGCTGAACTGCTGCACAAACAGTAACTGCAGTGGTAATCATACAAAAGCAGGATGGTTGGAGAAGCAATATTGCAATAGTTGTCTAGTGAAAAATGATACATAAAACTGGAAAGGCAAATTAAAATCATGAAGGTTTGACTACAGTTACTCTGGTCTAGCATTGGTGATCTCGCTACAAGCAAGAAGTTGTACTAGAGCCCTCCAGCAGTTCTTTCCAATCAGAATTTCTATGATTCTATGCAATGAATTTATAAATGGTCACACAAGTAAGAGTACACTCAAAATACATTTCCATAATATGAAATGATGGGCTCATTCTTTCTTTACATGCACTGATTAATGCTGCTGAAGCATGAAGTGATTGTAGTAGATCATTATTACATCACTGGGAACTCAGTAGGAAGTGACAAGAACAGAACAACTCATCTTCTCTTAGAACTGCTCTTTCAGAAGTTCTGGAGCTGATAACTTATAATTGTTGCCCAGAGAAGTTGTGGATGCCACCTCACTAGAAGTGGTCAAGGCCAGGCTGGATAGGGCTTTGAGCATCCTGATCTAGAGGAAGATGTCCCTGCCCATGGCAGGGCGGTTGGACTAGATATCTTTAAAAGTGCCTTCCAACCCAAACCATTCTATGATTCTATGATTCTATAACAATTGTACTGCTTTGCTGTCTTATTTTAAAAATTATCCTCAGTCATCTGAATTGGCTTTTGTCAGTAAAGTTTAAACTTTGGACCATCATCTGAGAAAACGCTATTGTGCCAACTCTCCAAAAGCTGATCAAGTTTGACTTATCAGTCTACTCAACTGGGATGACAGTGAGAAAAACATATTTTACTAACACTGAATACAAAAGGAATAAGAAGTTGTAGGCACTTTTTCAGAGAGGAAGAATATGGTAAGTGATAGCCCATACCACTGGAGAAAATACTTTTTTTGTTATTCTTTTGAGGTATCCATACTATAATGAATTCATTAAATACTGCAAGCACTAGAAGATGTCATACAACTAGTGGTAGAAGATCACCATGGAGAAAATAATTACTTTTAACTGAGATATGTTTCTTTCAAACTTCAGCTTCTTGCCACAGTGTGAGGTTATCTTTCGGTACAACGGGATTAGGAGAAGTATCTATCCATTACCTTGCAAAAAAGGACATCAAATAATATTTTTACAGTCAACTGTTTTAAGTGCTTTTAATATCAGAAAAATATTGCTTAACAGATCTGTTCCATATGATGAAAGAACCCAGCTATAAGCGTATGGCCTACAGAAGTGTCATTGTTGCAGGGGAAGACCCAGAATTAAAAATCTATTTGCTTATTAGACAAGGTTTCTTTAAAAAAAAAAGAGAAGAACTGTGTTTGATCCGTTTGAAAAAGACTTCTGACAAGAAGTTGCTCTGTGAGGCTCCTGTTTTCTCTGGGTTAGATTTCTATAGGCTATATTTCAGGAATTCTTGGAATCTAGAAAATGAGAGGCAAAGGTGAAATGTCTTCTTTGCAGTTAACCTACATGAGACTTCTGCCTCTCTGCTCTGGAGTAATATACTTGGCTTAGCTTAGTTTCACCTAGATTCTGATTTTGCTCCAGCAGAGTCAATGATCATACTCTTTCAGAATTCCTAAGGCAGTATCCTTTAGAAAAAGCTGGTTTTCCCCCCTTTACTATGTCTTTCTGGAATGCAGTAAGAAAGACGTTAAAAACAGACCCGTTAAGAGGTTAAAGACAGACCCGTTAAGATTCTTCCTGGAAATATGGTGCAGCCAAGGGACTACATTCAGCTTCCGCGTTTGCAGCCCCTCCATACCTGGGAAACTCCATGTGGAAAAAAGGGCTGCGGAACATTCCAGCAGGAAAGACCACCATGTGCTGCCTTATTGAGTAGTATGAATGCACAGTCCAGGGGGACACATGCCAGCTAGAAGCAGAAAAAGAGAAGTGAGAGAATGTATTAACTCCTTATCTCATACTTTGCTCCTTTCCTCCACTGGGCTTGCAAAAATGGTCTGCTCGGTACAACTGTTCATACAGCAGCAGCAAATGATGAAATTCACATTACCTAAAGTTAAAGGTGTTTGAAATAAACTTTCACTTGTTTACAAATGGTCAGAGCTAGTAGCTTAGCTTTCATACACATTAAGGGATTCACACTCACAACATCCCTGTCAAGTAAGTCAGGATTAGTAACCTTCTGTGAAGTCCTGCACAGAATACTCTTCAGGTAGTATAAGGTCCCAAGCATGCCTGTCAACACTGCCTGTCTTCTGAAGCATCCTATGTCCTGCCTTTGAGGTGACCCTGCCAGCATTCACATCATCACAGTGCATTGCTGCTTGCTTTGCTGCTAAGTCCAGGAGAACCAGCTATCCCTCTTACTCAAGGGTTCATGGGCAAAAAAGGGTCTTTTTTCAGGGGTCTGGGGCTCCTTCCACAACAGAGGGGTTTTTTGCTACCATGGGCTCAGGCTGAATACACGACAGGCTGCCAGATTCAAGGCTTTTTTAAGCAGGATGCAG